AAAATACTGACAAATTGACCTTAATAAACGAGCGCCACACGCGCCCCTAGCAATAGAACTAGGGTATAAAAAAAAAATAAAAAAAAAAAAAAAAAAAAAAAAAAAAAAAAAATTCTTTCCTCGGAATTAATATCTGTGCTGCTACGCAACATATTGAACTGCATTACTCCGATGAAAATTTTTCATTGTATGCCCAAGATTGTAGGGAGTGACATTGCTCCGATCTTAGTTTTCATCGCCCCAGTATTGTATACTTAAACGCGCTATGCAGATCACATAAATGTGAAATTCGCGTAATATAAAAAAAAACATGTTAACGCGAATTTTCACGAACAAAGCGAGATTTGACGTGACTTCCACCCTGTTCTAATATTATTTATTAATGTAAGATAAGCAGTAAACAGCGCAACAACTAAATCTTGTAATTGTCGTGCCCGAAATTAAAATTACTAGCAAGAATATTTTTGATAATTTATATTTTTTTTCTTTTTAATATTTAAACATTTTTTAAATTAATTAAATATAAACTATAATTTTTAATTTAAACTATAATTTTTTAATTTAATTAAATATAAACTATAATTTTTTAATTAAAAATATTTTTCATCAAAATGATATTAGTTTGTTGCATCAAAATGTTGATGATGATTGTAATCTGAATATTATTAAATCTGAACTTTAAACGTAATCTGTTTTTAAAACAAATATTTTGCCGTTCCTAATATTAAGTACTTAATTGATAGAGTCAAAAAAGTAACGTTCATATTAAATATTCAATAACTTTTTTAAATTTATTGAATGTGCAATTATAAAGAGAGATGAGATTGGCTACTCAATGATACATGAAATTACATTGATGTGTACTTGAAGTGTACACATAAAGGGCGCACTTACGAAGGTTGACCGTAGCACCCAATATTTTTGCAATATTCTTCGCAGAGTAATGTACTAAGGATTTTTTTTTATAAAAACGATAATGATACATATTAATGTATTCTTGGGTTTATTGTTAAAGTTATTATTTTTATATTTAGCAATATAATTAAAATATATATACTTAAAAAAATCTCCATAAAGAGTTCGCACCTTTTCTTGCCTTATATCTAGCAAATTTACTACAACATACCCACATAATTCCAAGTCCAATACACCACAAAAACCAGAAACTAAAGTCATTTAATTCAAACAATTTACTCTTAAAAATATAAATCAAGCAAAGTTTCATTAACCAATAAACCTTAAAGTGTATAACATAAAATAATAATGAACTTTGACCAAAACACAATAACGGGCTAATTACAACGATTGTTATGAAAGACGTAGCAAGGGAATCTGAGAATAGAGAAGTCGGAGATGATGATAATGAATATAAAAAAGATAAGATGAGATGATTTAGTCCCATGTAAAACGTTATAAATGCAAGATCTGGTGGATAAATAATAACGTTAAAGAATTGCATCCAATTTGCCAAATAAGGGTTGTTAAATAATGTTCCTGGTGGTAATGGTAAAAGTTCAGGATTTATGTTTCCAAATTTTCCAGGAATTCGAATTAAGAGAAAAAGTACGTGGAATATAAACGAAGCTTTCTAAATACGATTAAAATATAAGTTGTTAATGAAACATAGTAGAAGTTAATGAATGTAACTTTAGTCACTTATAATTTACCAAATTGAGACGAATATTATATGAGGTGTTATTGGCATGCCGCGACGTTAACAATGCGAAGGCGACGCCATAAATTACAAGTGATAGCCAGTCCAAAGGCGGATGAATAAAAATGAAAGACTTATAAACACCTATAAATAAAAAATATCAACTATAAATTATAATAATAAAATATGTAAGTAATAATAAGTAATAAATATAAACCTGGTAATATTAATATATGTCTTAATAGACTAAAGTTTTCACTACCAAATGCAATTGCCTTGGGAGTTTGTAATACTACACCGACACTCAATAATATAGAAAGCGTTATTAGAGTGATAATTCGAATTGATTTTGTCATTTTACTAGCGTCATCAATACTTGCACCGCCTTTCTCAAAAATTCTCACAAATAAACAATACAAAATAACACTAAGCAGGAAAATAAAGCCACCAATTGTGAAATTTATACCCAGCGCAAATAAAACAGTTGCCATATGAATCAAGTCTATATAATATATATATAATATGTATATAATATGTATCAGTATATTTCTTATTTTGTATTTCTTATTTTGCAATCAATGGATAAAGAATTACTTACTATCTTGCAATGCAAGCATAAAAAACAAAGAAAACCAAAAGCTCAACAACACTAAAACTAAACCTCGAATAAAATAATGTGACGCCAAATCTTTAAGAGACCACCCGATGATTATTCGTGATTGTGAAAATAAAACAATTCCAATACCCATTACAAAGGCGAACCCTAAAGGTGCTAAATGTGTTGGTATGCTTATTAACGTGTTGAAAGGTTTCGTATATGCTGTTTGTGAGTACCATATTTCCATTCCTAAGGTTTCAAGTGTATACGATTAAATAGGATTATATAAAATTCGAAATTAAGATAGTTATTAAGATAGTTATTAAGATAGTTATTAAGACAGTTATTAAGTTAGTTATTAAGATAGTTATTAAGATAGTTATTAAGATAGTTATTAAGATAATTAAGATAGTTATTAAGATAGTTATTAAGATAGTTAAGATAGTTATTAAGATAGTTATTAAGATAGTTATTAAGATAGTTATTAAGATAGTTATTAAGATAGTTATACAAGAACTTACGATCTTGACTTTCATTATTGGTTAAAAAGATTCTGGCATCTAATAAATTTATAATAATATTTATTATATGCATATATGTAATTAAAGGTCATCGTTTAAAATATTTACGCTCAATAGATTGAAAAAGCATCATCAATCCACGGAATACATCCAATGCAACGATTCGCGGTGGCTTTGTTCCAAAAACATTACGAGTTCTTAGAGTTCCAACTGATGATATATCAAAAGCATCTTCTTCTATTTGTCGTTGTGTTTCAGCCTATTCGCATGAATAAAATAAACGTTAATATGTCAAACTTTATTCTATCTAGTAATATTTCATTCACCTCATTACGTAGAAGACCAGTTCTTTCATTTGGCAGTGTTGGCGAGTCCATGTATTATTACGTATTTGAAATTTGAAGATAAAGACAAGGGGGATAGAAATTAATGCTTAAATTACCATTAGAATCAGAATATCATATCCAAAATAGGTTAATGATGCTTTAACACATGGAAGCAAGTAACATCAGGTGTCGATATGAAAATCAGCAGATCACGTAATATCATTAAGATCTCACAGTACTGTACAGTACAGTACGTATCGCCACTAAAACTAGTGTCACAGAACATAATAAATCTTTTTTGGGAAAATAAATTCAATTAATTATCAAGAGTCATGAATGGAGTATAATATAAAAGGTAGTGTCTTATATGCGTGGGCACAAAACGACTTGCTCTTAAATATGTCAAAAGATTGTTTTATGACAGAAGTGGAGTGTACATCGTGATGGCCATCTATATTTCTAATAGCTATGTATGTACGTACGTACGTACAGTACATTAACAGTTAATAATCTTATCAGTGTGTATCACTTCAAATATAAAAGGTAAGTTAATATCCGGAAAAATAAGAACTTTGCTGAAAATATTACAGTAATTTGCGACAAAAAGTACCATGGGTTTCTTACATTCCTAGGCCTTAAAATTGATCATTATCCTTCTGTGACCGGAAAATTATTATGGTGCAAATCATCTTAAGACATCCAAATTGTAACTCTTCAACGAATATTCGTAATTTCGTAAAAAAAGCTGTTAAGACCTATAAAGAATGCTTTTTTTTTTTTTTTTTTTTATGAATTTCCTTATTCATCAAGGAGATTCAATTTTTTTTTTTTTAAAAAAAAAACAACAAAAATCTTCGGAAACTAATAATCAGCAAGATACTATTTGACCCTGAAATTATAACAGTGCGATATACCATTAAATCAAAACTATATGTGGTCACTTATATCGATATGGGGTGTTGTAAATAGAAAAATTTTGTGCAAATCAATTTTAAGGCTATACAAAAAAAATTTTTGGTTTTCATAACATAGAACTGTTTAAACAGACCCGGCCGGCTGGCTTTTTTTAAAAATTTTATACAGTATATAAAAAATTTATAAATCTTTTTAAAAAGTTTTTAAAAAACCCCCTGGTTATTAAAACATATAAAAAAAATTTTTTACAAGTTTTTAAATTTTGACCCGGCCAGGTTATGAAAACCAAAAAAAAATTTTTATATAGCCTAATGATCTATATATAGTAACAAAATTTTTAACCTAAAGTTCATATAATTAGCTTTCATGACATAATAAAGTTTTTTCATTGATATATCTATTCAAAACTCAAATCAATTTTTTTTTAAATATATAAAAATGTGCTGTTTTTATTAACAATATTTTATATATATTTCAATTATAAATAAGCTATCATTTTTGGACAAAAAATTATACAAAAATTTTATAAGTAGCTTATTTTTAAAATATTGAGTTTATTAACAAAAAATCTTAGTAAATTCTTGTTTAAATTGTATAAAACATCAAAAGAATATTCTATAAAATAAGTAAGTAAACTCTGCAAACTCTGCAACTTCACTATTAAAAATTAATGATTACTAATCATTAATAAACCTTATTTCTTATATTGTTTATAAAATATCTGACTTTTATATATAAAAACAATTTATAATTTTTTTACAATTTTTAAATAGAGGGTAGCTTATTTTAGAAAGTAGTTTATTTTGATGATATATAGTATATTGTATTACTAATAAAATGTTTTTTTACATCAAATTTTTTATTAAAAACTACAATATATAAAATAATCTCTATTAATAAAACTTTTTATATTTATTATCTACTAGAAAATTAAAAACTAGTTTAAGTTTAGAGCTCATTATTATCATATTATATAAATGTATAAATATGCTAATACAAATATATATAACAATTTAAGACTATATTCTTATAGTGCTTATAGAAACTATATATAAATATACTAACTCTAACAAAATTGCTAATGAAATTACTATCAAATTTCTTCTATAATTAAACAACTATTACTTTAAATGGAATTCTGTAAAAACTATCCTAATAAAGTTAATAATAAACTATCATTTGAGCAACTAAAATAAATAAAATATGTTATAAACTATATA